CTATAAAGTCAAAGAGCAGGAGAGTCAGAATGAAGTTGTGAGGGAGACAGAAGAATAAGGATAAGAGGTAGTTATGATCACAGGTGAGATGTTGGGATTTTTTTTCACGGGTAGAGCAATTGTGAATGATGACTGGGGTCAGAATTGGGCCATAATAATTGGGTGGTTGAAGTAATTGGGGACTTCAGCAATTGAGAAGACAGAGTCAGAAGGTTGGCAGATGTTGGCCATAAGAATGGTGTGGCTCCAAGGGAGGAGCCATTAACCCTGCACAGAAAGAGGAAGAGAAATGGTACAAATGTGTGTCAAGTTATGCCAATGCTGATACTGCTTCCCATCCATTGGGACAGCTACTGTGTATGGAAAGGAAGAGGGCCCTGGGGCTTTCCCTGATCTTAATTAAAGCTGGAGATAAAGAGATAGAAAAGTATAGTAAAAAATGCAGAGAAACTTACTAACCATGGAGTGAATTTGAGAGGGCACCATGGAAAGCTTGGGAAGAAGAAACACAGTGTTAGCCAGTGGTTAGAGTGTCGGCTCCCACACTGAAGGGTCACAAGTTCTATTCCTGGTCTAGGGCATGTGCCTGGGTTGCTGGTTTGATCCCTGGTCTAGTTGGGGCATGTGCAAGAGGCAACCAATTGATTTGTGTCTCTCACATCGATGTTTCTCTCTCCCTCCCGCCCTCCCTCCCTTCTACTCTCTAAAAATCAATGGAAAAAAATATCCTTGGGCCCCGCCTGGCATGGCTCAGTGGTTGAGCATCGACCTATGAACCAGAAGGTCACAGTTCAGTTCTGGGTCAGGGCACATGCCCAGGTTGCAGGCTTAATCCCTAGTGTGGGCCAGGCAGGAGTCAGCCAATCAATGATTCTCTCATCATTGATGTTTCTCTCTTTCTCTCTCTCACCCCCTCTCCCTTCCTCTCTGAAATAAATAAAAATATATTCAAAATAAATAAATAAATGTGCTCTAAAATCACCTGGACTCATGTGAAATTTAATATATCCTTAAGTGAGGATTAACTAAAAAAAGAGAGACAATGATGAAGCGGGTAAGGGGCCATGGAGCAGTTTAAAGGTGAGCTTCCTCTCTCTCCTTCAAACTCCTGTCCAGTCCATCAGCAAGTCCTACAGACTTATGTCTTCTCAATATTTTTAATCTGCTCACTTCTCTTTATTTCCATCACCACCCAGTGTCCAGGTCTTCATGATTTACCACCTGGACTACAGCACCAACCTCCTCAGTGGTCTCCTCACAGCCACTGTTGTCTGCTTTCACCCAGTATCCACTCTGCAGGAGTCAAAGGAATCTCATCACCCTTGTCTAAAATCCCCCACTAGGTCTCCATTGCCCCAAAGATAGACAAAATCTATGCTTCCTAGCCTGACATGGAACACACACACACACACACACACACACACACACACACACACCCATGAGCTGAGAAGCCCCTGCCTCCTTTTCCAGCCTCAGATCCCACCAGCCCTTCATTTATCCCTAGTTGTGGCTACCTCTTCTCCCCTGGTTTTTCTTTGCTTGTGTTGCCTCCTCTGCTTGTACCGCTCCCTGGCATGGTAGAATTTATATTTGCTAAAGGAATTACATTCTACTCATCTTTTATATTTCAGCTCAGGTGTTATGTCATATATGAGGCCTTTCCTAACCCACTCTCCATCCCAGGTATTGCTGGCTCTGCTCTCCTTTGTGTATATAGACTTCCACCTTAATGTCTTTCTCACTTACTGCATTTATCTGAAGTCCCCTCCTGACTGTGATAGAGTGGCAGATTCTTGAAGGTAGGCATTGTCCAATTCATCTTGTTACTCTATTACCTGACACAGTGCTCTGCACATGGGAGGTGTTAACTGAGTGGATGAAAGAAGCATGAATTGAGCCTTTTATGGGAGTTCCTTGGAGACAAGCTAGAGGCTTCCTTGTAACAAAGCAGGTGGGAGAAGAGAAGAAAGAAGAGACCTAGTGCTCCCCCTTATGAGGAGGAAGTTAACCTTGTGTACCAGAGTTGCTGACACTTTGGCCTTATCCTCACCTCTTAGACTGAAGGAGGAGAACCATCCAGGCACCATCAGGGATGAAGGGGAAAGCTCAAGATACTTCTTGGCAGTAGACCCCACAGCCCTGGTGCCTGGCCTCTAACCTCTGTTCCTAGCCTCAGCCAACCTCAAGTCCTGGGTGGAACCTCCGAGACCTAGTTTCATCCCCGGCTGCCCCCTTCCCCACTCATCAAGGCTGGTGAAGCACCCTTAGGCAGTTCTCCTGAACCAGAGGAACCTGGTGCCTATCAGGAGCCACTCTATGGCATGGCCTCCCACTGCAAAGCCCAGTGTGTCAGTGGACCTTGTCAGGGTACCATTCTACCCACAAGTAAGGGGCTACAGGTCAGGAGGGGCTAACTGCAAACCAGATGAGGCCATGGACCAGAGTTTGGGTCTACTTCCAGGGCCCCTTCCTGACAGAATCCAAGGGATGGGTTTGAGTCCATATTCTTTGCCGTTGGGAGATGAGTAGTATTATACTCATTTTATGGATGAGGTCATTGAGGCTAGGATATGAAAAGTCAGAGAAAGGGTCCCCTGCTAGAGTCTGAGGTTATTTTTTGAGCCTAAAACAAACTAATTAACCTCTGCTGGCTTGAAAAGGTAGAGGAGGAAAAAGGGTCTTACCTGAGATCCAGTTGCCTGTGGTCCAGACCCACTCCCCAGTCAAATGGTTGTCAGTAAGTTTGGAGAGTAAAGTCTTGGCCCATTTATGATCAGAAAAGAGTCAACAACTATATCCTTTACCAACACTGCACCATCTAGGCCCACATTCGTGGAGGCTAAAGGGTAGCTAGCAGGACCACTCACTGTTCTACAGATGTGTTCATGGTGCCAGGTCCCTGAATGGTTCCACCTCCCCTCTCCCCAGCTTGCCTCTGACACACATCTGGCCTCTCCCTGTTTCCCCACCTCAACTTCCCTTTGTTATACCTAACTCATGGCAACCAAAGCCTCGTTTTCTGGTGGAGTGCTACCTGAACCACCTGAAACCACAGTTTTAGGGCTCAAATGGCAACCTTGAGCCAATCCATTTGGCACATGAATATCTGCCCCTGGCCCTATTTTCCTGATGCCTCTCCTGTGGTCAGTTATTAGCAGGCTGGGTCAGAGTCCCTGCTCTGCCTTTCACCAGTTCCTTTTCCTACTTGTGGTTCTCCGTTTCCTTCTATGTGTAATAGTCCAGAAGCCAGTTAGGATCTAGGATCATCTGAGCAGAAATGAGGTTTGTCCCTCAGCTCTCCCGTTCCTTGCCTCCCACAGCCTCATTTGAGCTAGAAATCCTCAAAGGAAATGTTACTACCCCTCAATTTAAAGAAGAAAATGAGATTGTTCCACAACCAGGGCCCCTTGATTCAAGCCAAGAAGTCCTCTGGTTTTATTGTAAAGAAAATGGGGAGAAGAGTCTGGGCCAGATTCACATCAGAAGCCCTGTCAGTGACTGCAGCCCAGGAGGCTGTTCATTCTCAGGGGCTGGGGAAGGGCTTTGGCTGCACTCAGTTCCTCCACATTGCTGTAGCAGTACAAATTTTGGCCATGGATGAGGTATAAGCCGGAGCCATTGGCAGAACATGAATTGGGGCCAAGGGACTTTTCCATGCACAGGGCCCCATCAACCTTCTCATGGGGCCAAGGAAGCTCTGTCCATGTCGCTTGAGCTCCTAACTTCATGTCCAGCCACCACAGCTGTCGTCCTGTGAAGAAGGCACCAGATATAACATGGCTTCCACATCATGGAAATCCTGACCTAACCCTTCTCAGGTCCTGATGGTGATCCATGCTATGGAGAAGTAGTAGAACAAGCCACCCCTTAGCACCCAGATGCCCCTCACCTGTCATGATGTGGAGTCGAGAAGACCCAGGACAGATAAAGGCTGCATCCACAACCAAAAAGCTGGTCCCAGGAGGGCTCCCTAATTCCTTCTCCAGCCGTTTTGGATATCCATCTACTAGGGTATAGCCTCCCTTTGTCAGGAAGATATATATCTGAGTGCCCTGGAGGATAAGAGATGTTAATCAGCATAGAGCTGGATATTCTCCCAGTCTTTTCCTCAAGCCTCTCTCCCTCCTAACACATACCTGGATCAGATAGAGTTTATCATCCCAGGAAAAGGCAGCATCCACTGTTGAAGGACCCTTGGGCCACTGATGGACAATGGGCCAGCTATGCCACCCATCCTTGCTGCTGTCCAAACGCCAGTAGTTGGACCCTGTGGAGTATCAAAGGCACCTGTAGTGCTGGTGGTAAAAGGCCAGGAAGTGAAGAGGCAAGTGACAGATGTAGGGGTGAGTCCTGAGAGGAAGGAGAGAATGCATCCAGAGGCCAAGAGGAAAGAAGACACATAAGAGGAAGTAGAGAAGGACTTGGCAAAGTTGGGCATTGTGGCCTGATTGGAACTGGAGTCAGCAGGGGCCTGACAGAAGGGCAAGAATAAAGAACAGTGGCCAAGTTGCCCGGTAAGGCCAATATCATGGGGTTTGTTGGGGGCTTCCAACTAATCTCAGATGTCCATGTGCAGAGATGTTATAGACAAGGAGAGAGTGACCAGAAGTTAAACGGGAAGCACCACAGCAAGCTTCCAAGCTTCCATGGAGTGTTCTACTCTGGCTGTATTCTCTAATCCCAGGTGGGGAGGGTGGCAGGAAAGTGAGGGAATAGCCAGAGCAGCTCTTTAATTTTCTTCTCTCCTTTCCATAGCAACTTACTAAACGACTCGTCTAAGCTCTCATTTACCTTTACTTTCTCAACCTACTTCACTTACACTTCTGTTTCCCTCCTCTATTGAAATTGTTCAAGGGCACCAGTATCCTCCAACTTGCCAAATCTACTGGTCCATGGTTCATTCTCTGCCTTCCTCTTACTCTATCTCTCAGCAACATTTGACTGCTGACAACTCCCTTCTTTAAATGTCTTTTTTTTTTATCTTGACTCCTGTGATACCAGACTCTCCCAAGTTCCTCTTGTCTTGTTGACTATTCTTCTCTTCAGCTGTATACCGATGACTTTCAATCTGTTCTCTACAGCTCTATAGGACTATCCTTTGAATGTTAGGCTCAAACATAACTGCCTACTTGACCTGTCCATTTGGGGCCACTAGGCACCAAAATCCCAATATGTCTCAACTGATTGCTGCTTTCACCACACACACACACACACACACACAGGCACACACAGACTTATTCCTTTCCTAATCTTTCCTAATTTTAAAAAAGGAACCATTAATCACTTAGCTACCTAGTCCCAAAAAACTGTCATTCTTTTAAATAAATTTTTAAATCCTCACCTGAGGATATACTTTTCCTTGATTTTTAGAGAGAGAGAGAGAGAGAGAGAGAGAGAGAGAGAAACATGGATGAGTTGCCTCCCATACATGTCCTAACCAGAGATGGAAACTGAAACCTAGGGGAACATACCTAATACTGAAGTATAGTAACCTCCATCTTGGGTAAAAACTGCTGTTTAAAATTTTAACCTTGCTACTCTGTAAACATTTGCTTGCTTA